GGGGGGGGGGGGCAAACACACGCAAAAGACTTCCCATTTTTCACTCATTTTTGCCCTCCCCAGCCCCCAGGAGCACTCTGGAAGCCTCCTAAAGGTTATGCATGGCCATTTTTGTAAAGGGGGAACGGTTTCAGGAGACCAAAAATGCTGTATTCAGTGTATAAGACGCACCCAGATTTTCACCCTCTTTTTTGAGGGAAAAAGGTGCATCTTATACTCCGAAAAATATGGTAGGTACTCCTTGACTTACTTTACTTACTGACTGTTCAAAGTTACAAAGCCACTGAAAAAGTGACTTGTGACCATTTTTCACACTTATGACCATCGCAGCATCCCCATGGTCATGTGATTTACATTCAGATGCTTGGTAACTGGTTCATATTTATGACGGTTGCAGTGTCCCAGAGTCATATGATCACCTTTTGTGACCGTGTGACAAGCAAAGTCAATGGAGAAGCCAGATTCACTTAACAACCGTGCTACTAATTTAACAATGGCAGTGATTTATGTAACAAATGTGGCAACAAAACTCATTTAACAAATTTCTCACTTAAATTTTGGGCTCAATTGTGGTCGTAAGTTGACGGCTACCTGTATAAGCCTTCATGGAAGTGGACTTGATTCATAAAGACAAATAATATAATTTGTTATAAAACGTTCTCTTTAATGGATAATAGGATGTTTTAAATTGTCTGATATACATTATGGTAAATAACTATCAAAATTGTTTAACGTGTACACATCTTTAAAAAAATAAATGGACAATTACGTTCTCTAACTGGGAGAGCTATCATGAAAAAATTACCTTCCTGTGGTTTGACTGGCGGAAAAACTGAACAAAGTGACACATTTCAGTTATTTCACCCTATTTACCAGTGGATAATGTGGCCTGAGTTTCCCAGTATATCGATAACCAGCCCAGGGATCTGTGTTTATGTCTCCATCTACAGTCCAGGCAGAAACTTCTCGTTTTGCTTTGTCATCTTCTATAAAACAAAAGCAGAATCATCACTGATTTTAATTAAGAAACTTCATCAAACATCAGAAATTGAAAAGTTAGATGGATAGATGGAACTTCTTTCCCCTCTCTTCTTTAGAGCTCTAAATTCCCCTCCTCCCTCCATGCTTGCTTTTCCTGCAATGGAGTATAAAATGTACCAAGATTTTGAAGAGGCAAATTTTTAAAAAGAAGGTTTTGCACTCTGCACGCCTAGCAGGTTTTTTACAAAAATGGGCCCATTTTTTTGTGAAAAAAAGTGGCATGCCTAGCCTTTAGGAGGTTTCTAGAATACTCCTGGGGACTGGGGAACAAAAACGAGCAAAAAATACGGCCCATTTTTTGCTTGTTTTTGCCCTCCCCAGCCCCCAGGAGCAATCTGGAAGCCTCCTAAAGGCTACACACGGCCATTTTTGCAAAGGGAGCAGAGTTTTGGGAAGCCAAAAATGCTGTATTCAGTGTATAAGTCATACCCAGATTATAACCCTCTTTTTGGGGGGGGGGAAGGTGCGTCTTATACTGCGAAAAATACGGTAACTCGGATACTATTTGTATAAAGATCATTTTTTTGCCAAAAAGCTATTAAAAAAATAAATAAATCCAAGTCAGTACTAAAGCACTGGCCTAGTCTTGCCTTGCCCAGTTGCACTGTCAAAACTCTACTGTACCAATCATGCTGTGTCTTTATTTTTCAGTTCCTCTGCCTCCCTGAACTCATTTTTAAATACAGGTAGTCCTCGGCTTACAACAGTTCATTTAGTGACCGTTCAAAGTTACAACGGCACTGAAAAAAGTGATTTATGACCTTTTTTCACACTTACAACCTACCAACCCCATGGTCACAGGATCAAAATTCGGATACTTGGCAACGGACTCATACTTAGGACCATTGCTGAGTCCCAAGATCATGTGGTGACTTCTGTGATCTTCTGACAAGCAAAGTCAATGGGAAAGCCAGACTCACTTAATAACCATGTTACTAACTTAATAACTGCAGTGATTCACTTAACAACTGTGGCAAGAAAGATCATAAGATGGGGCAAAGCTCACTTAATAAATGTCCCACTTAACAACAGAAGTTTTGGGTTCTGTGGTCATAAGTCGAGGACTACCTGTATGTCACGTCTTTCACTATTCCTAAAGCAGTAAAAGATCACAACTATTTAAGAAACTAAAGTCCAAGGTCCCATTCAGACAGAAACCTACCAATGTGTAAAAAGCATTGTCCATAAAATATCTAGAAAGCAATCAGAAATATTTTAAGAAACGGACTAAAGTGTCAGATCACTTTCGTGACTGTACCACTGCAAGCTACAGTTGTGTCATGTGTATGAATGTTCTTCCATAAAAAATAAGAAAATTTATATAGTAATAAAAAGGGAATCAAGGAAAATCATAACTTAAACCATTTTCCTCTGTCATCTAGATTAATATTTCCCATTGTGTTATATGACTCTAACTGCTCTGAATTATCAACTATGTCTACATTAGCGCAGCCAATTGAACAAATTCAATAAACCATAGTTAAGCAACACATCATTCAGTGCAAGACATGGACTGGGTTTTTTCCTTTTCTGTTATACAAAAGACCATTCAATCCTCTATGAATCCTTGTATGATGTACCTCAGAAAGCAAACCCACATTTATTACATCAATAACAACCTAACAGTTATTACAGATTGATTTTAGGATGATTTGATGTCACCATAAACAAAATAGATTGCAAAGAAAATATGATAAAATCAAAAGGATGTACTTGCTTACTTGCTTTCTTGTGCAGCAATTTGTGAGTAGCCCAGCTTCCTTTAAAACACTCCTAAAAAGGCAAATTATATAAATTTAGCAATACTTTGAAACAGATTAACTTTATATGGCTTACAGTTCCACAGGTTATAAATCAGACCCTAGAAAGATGAAGGAAAATAGGTTTTCCTTACAGTTCGCTACAGTTCAAACAGCAGACCCTAATTGGATTTCTTTTTAATAAGGCTCAAAAGCCACTTGACATATAAATGTATATGCCTAATATTGCTTTTATATAATTGTAGTATATGTTTTAAAGCACTTTAAAAACATATCTTAGTTTAGACTTGGACTGGAAACATGGAGCCTTTTCATATCTTTTTTTATTATCACACTTATTTGCCACCCAGGGCAATTCTGAGTCTTTTATGGGAATTATTTGTTGTGACTATATGAGCATTTATAGCCAACATATTGGGATGGGACATAAGTCTGTAAAAAGCACAGTAAACAAATTTTGGCATTTCAAAATGGAAAATAGTTTCCTGGAGCCTAAATGATAACATTCACAGTACTGCTAGATAGTACAGAACTCACCATCACATCTACCTACTGGTTGTACGCTACCATTAAAAAATTAAAGTTTTCATGCAGCTCAAAACAAAAATTTAGCAAAATCATGGAGAGGAGATTCAACCATTGCTAAATCCCTCATTCCCTAAGGCAACATGTAGATGGTTTCTTCTTACAATCCTGTTTTTCAGGAGCTTACTTTAGCCTGGAGTAGTTACTGCAAAAGGCAGCTCCATAGCACCACTAAAAAGATAGACAGCTGAATTCCTCATATGTGCAACATTTCCACACCTATCTTTTTTTATCCTTCAAAAATACATTCTGAATGCTTGATTCAACCTGGTTTCCTATACAAATATGTTCCTCGGCCCAGTTCTATTAAAAGCAAGCCTGACTTTCTTCATAATTTGTAAAACGATTGCTCTTTGCAACAAGAGCAAAAATACAACACAAAGATGTTCCCATTTCCTTTTCTCCCAACTCTCATCATCTTCAAACATTAATTTACTAATGACACGGAGGTGGTTGCTGACTTTTAATTTTTCCCCCCATCTTGCTTTCTTGTATTAATTTTTTAAGAAAAATAATCAAATGGATTTCACACATCATAAACCTTAAAAACCTGACAGAAGCAGAATCTGATCTTGTGACCTTCCAGCACATTTAACTTAAAGCCAATTAAAGTATTCATCATCAAAAAAGACTGCAAAAGGCTTCTTCCTTCAAAACCTAGCAAAACGTAGACTTGTATGAATACCACAGAAATTATGTAAAATTTAAAACAAGCATTTATTGCATATGTACACAAATTTTCCTGAGTTTCCACATTCATGCCAATCATTATGGACATTGCATGTGTTTTATACTATGCACTATACACTAAAACTATGGTTTATGCTTTTACTAGTATATACAAATATGAACTTGGGTCCGACTCCAAGCAACATCAGGATCCTTAAATTGGATAAATGAATCACTTAGATTACTGAGTATTTAAATAGGATTTGCAGTAGGAAAAAAAAAATGACACTTCCTTATAATTGCTCCCCAAATTTCTGTAGCCAGCTCAGGTAACACAGCTAGATGACTTTGGCTAATTTCAAATGAGCATGGTACCTGAGTGGTGTATCAATAGGACACCCAAGAACCTTAGCAAGGCCGAAATATTGAAAAACCATTTTGGAAGGAAATCATGGCACATTATTTCTCTACTAGTTTCAGTAAAACAACATGGATATGTCCATACAGTCATCAAAAGCTGAAGCTGATTCAGAGGAATATTCCACATGGAGGACAGAAATGTCAGAACTTTGGAAAAGGGAGAAAGATTTTTCTTCTAAGAAAAAAAAAGAAGGCTCACCTGATTTTAAAAGGTGAACTATGGAAACAATGAAGATGAAGACAAGGCAGGCCACCCATGTTCAGAATCATTCTCAATTATGATTGCATTTCAGGATCCCTAACACACTGGAAAATTTAGAATAGTTCTGGTGCTAAGGCCTGATTTTTCTTCAAATCTGACACAGAAACTTGTTACAGTTAATATCAAAACCTTAGCCTGTGGGCTGCTTTTAGAGGGAAAGCTTTGGCAAAAATTCCCTGGGCAATCAACTAAAATATCCAAAGTGCAACAACAATCACTTGTTGACAGACTGGAAGAACCCAGCCGTTTTTTTCCCCCTCTCCAAAATCTATCTTGTGAATCTTGATGACAGAACAGGGTTTTGTTTTTAAAATGGGGATGTCAGGCTTTGAGTGGTTTGTCCTTCAGCATGTATATGGGGCCTATTCCTAGCATTAATGAGTAAGAAAATGCACCTCCCCTTGCTTTAGATTTCCCCACTTCTGACATGTAAACCCCAGGGTAGAAAAACCTTTTTTTAAAAAGGGGGTTGGGGTTGGATGGAGGTAAGGAGGTAAGAAAGAATTAGGGCTTTTTTAGTTCACTGGTACCAGAGTTGGGTGTGTTGGGCTACAAGTGACATCGCTGGGAAGGATGGACGTTGTAGTCCTTTGCTTTACCAAATCCCAGGTTGAATGATAGCGCCTTCCTTTGGCTTTTCCTCCCTTAGCAACAACCAAAGGAAGAAGGCAAACTTGAAAGAGAGAGAGAGAGAGAGAGAGAGAGACTAGCAGAAACGCAGAAATCTCGGCAACGCCATCAGCCTTTCTGAATTCAGTCCCTCACTTCCCAGCAAAACGTGCTCGGGCGGCCAGAGAACAGGCCCGGGCCCAGCCAGCCTGAGTCACACCTGCCTTGGCAGGGCAGCAGCCGCCCCACATGTACGTCCCCCCACCCTATCCCAGGAGCAGGCAAGCCCCGTGTCCCCGAGGCCCCCCAGTGTCG